AACATTTTAGAAGACAACATTATAATATTAAAATAAACATATACATAATAATAATATAAATATATAAAAAAATTAATAGATAAGTCTCCGCAATCGCATGTTAAAACATCAAAATTTATCAATAATGTTATCGATAAAAAAAACAAAATGCATATACTCTAATGAAAAAAAATATACACCTGGAAGACTTTAAATTATACATAAGAGAAGCAATAAATTGAGTTTCTCCATAACATTTGTTTAAAACTAAAAAAAATATTTTACAAACCACAAAACTATAAATTCTCTACAAAATAAAAATCTATTTTGAATAAAAAATAAAGAAGGAGTGTGTGATCGATTGTAAAATAATTTTACTGATCTTGCTAGAAATAAACCACATAAATGGATTAATTAAATAAATATTTAATATGAAGACATAGATATTTACGATAGCTATAACTATAAGAAAAAGTTTTTTAAAACAATTAACATATCACAATTTATTTTAGAGAAAATAGTTCACAATAAGTTTACATATTTTAAGATAATTAAAAACTAAATTAATATATAAAATAAAATAAAAAATATAATAATTATATGAATTAACAAATAAATCTGCAGAACGCGCGGGTCAATTTCTAGTACTTATAGTAAAAACAAGAATAAACTTCAAAAAAATTATACAAGTTATAAACACGAAAAAAGGACATGAATAAACTCTTTTGTTTTATTTAATTATTTTACACTAGGTATTTACCCGCGCTACGCTGCCTAATATTTTCCTAAATTTTGTATATATTTTTAATATAATAAAATTATTTTTATAATATAAATGAGTATTTTTTTAATTTTTTTATTAGCTTAAGTTATTTATTTATATGTTTTAAATCTGAATAAACGTTGTATATCCTTAATTTTTTTATTTTTTAAAATTATAAATAGCTATTAAATTTGTTTAGCTAACTAACTATAAATGTATATATAAGAATAAAGCAATACAATTTTAAGTACTTTCATGCTAATGGTAAATGTAATATATTTTCTCCACTAAATTGCCACTTGATCCTCCATTGTAATTATGTAAAGCAAAATGTCATTTAAAAAAAGATTTATTAATTAATATGATTATTTTGAAGTATAAAATTTATTTATTTATCAAATATTTATTATAAACATACGTTTCTAAAACCACCAAACTATATTCAATAACATTCATATTAAAACCATTGTTGTTGCTTTCGAACCACCAAAAATTCTATTTAAACTCTTGAACTTTCGATTTAGTTGAAGTTAAATAATTAAATTTTGGTTACTGTAAACATATTGTAACTTGAAATTTTAGTAAAGAGAAATTTCGTCTTCTTACAAAAACCGAGAAATCGCATCTCCCGTCAAAACAAAAAAATTACATATTCCTACGAAAACTGAGAAATCACATATTCCCGCCAAAACCAAATAAATTCATTTTATCGTCAAACATAAAATTTTATTTTCCCATTAAAACAGAGAAATTGTATATTCTCGCAAAAACTAAGAAAACACATTTTCCCGCGAGAGACTGTGTTTTTCCGCCAAAACCGAGAAATTATGTTTTTTTCACCAAAACCAAAAAATTTCATCTTCCTATAAAAACCCAAAAATCATATTTTCCCGTCAAAACCGAAAAATTCATTTTCCCGCAAAAACCGAGAAATCGTCTATTCCCACCAAAACTAAATAATTTATTTTCTCGTCAATCCAAAAACTATGTTTTCCAACCAAAACCGATAAACTACAATTTCTCGCGAAAACCAAAAATTAAATTATCTCATGAGAAATTTGTTTTTCCCACGAAAACAAAAAAATCGTATTATTTTTCAAAAACTGAAAATGTACATTTCCCATCAAAACCGAAAAATTATAATTTCTCTCGAAAACTAAGAAAACTCATTTTTCCGCGAAAACCAAAAAATCATATTATCCATCAAAAGTCGAAAATTTGTGTTTTCTATCAAAACAGAGAAATCACATTTTTTAGTCAAAATTGAAAAGTTACATTTCCCATCACAACCAAATATCACATTTTCCTGTCAAAATTAAGATATTTTGTTTTATCATCAAAATCAAAAAAAAAAATTGTTTTCTTACCAAAACTGAAAATTCACATTTTCACGCCAAACCCGAGAATTTGCTTTTCCCACCATAACCGAAAATTATACTTTCTTACCAAAACTGAAAATCACATTTTTCTATCGAAACCAAGAAATCCTCTATTTCTACCAAACTGAGAAATTTCCTATTTCCACCAAAGGCAAGAAAATTTATTTTATCGTCAAACCGAAATATCGTATTTTCCTAACAAAACTGAGAAATTGCATTTTTTCGCCAAAATCGTCAAATTGCATTTTCTAAAAAAAACTGTGAAATTGTATTTTCTTGCGAAAAGTCAGCCAAAAGTTGAACTATATTAGGATAATAATTTGGAAATCTTTCTACCTAAAAAAAGCAAAATAATTATCAAACTTAAAACTAAAAGATTGTTTTCTGAGAAAGTAAACTAAAAAATTGCTAGTAGTATCTTGTTGTTTATCCATATTTCTTTAAAAAAAAGAACTAATAAATCCGATGCAGCAGGCATAGTAATAAAATAAGATTGAGGAGACCTGATATTTAATGATAATTTGAAGGAAAAAAGAGAGAAATTTTGTTTTGTTTTAAATAATTATTTATATCAAATGATCTTATGGGCTTTCAAATGTAATGAGTTTTATTTAGTTATTAGTCTTGGATAAATTTTTTGACCCAAATGAATTGAAAGTTTTTTTTAAATGAGCTGTATTAATAAAATATTATTATTGGTTGATTTTTTTGCTGAGATGTCATGTAGAAAAAACCTGAAAAAATTTAGATGTCATCACTTGGAGAGACTTATGAGTTATTGTTGTGTTGATTTAAAGAGTTTAACTCAATAGTTTCCGATAGTAAGAATGTCTTGTGAGTTGTGTGATTTATGGCTAAGGCCCATGATTTTTGTTATTGTGTAAAAATTATCTATGGGCCTATGCCCCGTGAATAGCTTTCTCTTTACAATTTCATTTTACGAATTTTGTTTTAGTAAAATATAGAAAGTGGAACTCAGCTCGAAAATTTCCTGAAAGTCGACGTCTCTGAGTAAATCAACGCTAAGTTTCTCCTTACTTTTTGACTATGTCTCTGCTACAGCTACAACACTCTCCAGAGTTATTCTCCATAAGAAATTCAAAATCTCTTCTCTATCCCTTCCCATGGCTTCTTCATCTACTTCGCACACCTGGAGGTACGATGTTTTTCCGAGCTTCAGCGGTGAAGATGTACGCAAATCATTCCTCAGCCATCTTCTCCAGAAGCTCAATCGCAAACTGATCATCACATTCATTGACCATGGCATCGAGCGAAGCCGACCGATCGCACCTGAGCTTATATCCGCGATTAGAGAATCGAGGATCTCCATCGTCATTTTCTCTAAGAAATACGCTTCTTCGACCTGGTGTTTGAACGAATTGGTGGAGATCCACAGGTGCTTTAAGGAATTGGATCAAATGGTGATTCCGATTTTCCACGACGTCGATCGATGTTAGAAAACAGACCGGAGATTTCGGCGAGGGGTTTGAAAAAACCTGCAATGGTAAAACAGAAGAGGAGAGGCAAAGGTGGATTCGAGCTTTCTCAGAGGTAGCAAATTTGGCCGGAGAGGATTCTCGAAATTGGTATGATTGTTTGTAGTTTGCTTTGCATTGATTTCGATTGTGCTTTTATGAGTGCTTATATTGAGATTTTGCCATTAAATATTCTAGGAGTGATGAAGCAAGCATGATTGAAAATATCTCCAAGGATGTGTCGAATAAGCTTATGATACCATCCAATGATTTTGGTGACTTTGTTGGGATTGAAGCTCACTTAGAGAGGTTGAATTCGATTTTGTGTTTGGAATCTGAGGAAGTGAGAATGTTGGTAATTGTTGGGGCTTCAGGGATTGGTAAAAGTACATTAGGAAGAGCTCTGTTCAGTCAACTCTCTAGCCGTTTTCACCATCGTGCCTTCGTTTCTTATAAGAGAACACAGAGGGACGACTATGGAATGAAGTTGTTTTGGGAAGAACAGCTTCTATCAGAAATTCTATGTCAAAAGGAGATAAAGATACCTCACTTAGGTGTGGTGGAGCAAAAGCTAAAGGACAAGAAAGTTCTTATCATCGTTGATGATGTTGATGATGTCGAACTAGTGAAGACACTGGTGGGACAAACTAGATGGGCTGGGTATGGGAGCAGAATCGTTGTGATTACTCAAGATCGGAAACTTCTAAAGTCTCACAAGATTGACCTTATCTATGAGGTCGAGCTCCCATCGAAATATCTGGCTTTGCAGATGTTCTGTCGATCTGCTTTTGGCCAAAACTCTCCACCATCTAATGGTTTCAAGGAACTCGCAGTTGAAGTTGCGGAGCTTTCAGGTAATCTTCCTTCGGGTCTCACTGTCTTGGGCTCGTCTTTGAGAGGGATGGACAAGGAGGAGTGGGTGGAGATGCTGCCTAGGCTCCGAGATAGTTTGGATGGAAAGATTGAGAAAACATTAAAAGTCAGCTACGATGGGTTAGATGGCAAAGATCAAGATTTATTCTTGTCCATTGCATGCTTATTCATTGGTCACAAAGTCAGTCACCTAGAAAACTTGCTCGGAGAAAGTGCTAAAATTGGGATTAGAATACTGGCTGACAAGTCCCTCATACGTATAACACCATTAGAAAAGACTGTTCAAATGCACTGTTTGTTACAGAAGTTAGGTAAAGAAATTGTTCGTGCAGAGTCTATCTACAGTCCTTGGAAACGTCGGTACTTGGTGGATGTTGAGGATGTTTGTGATGTACTTACTGATTATACTGTGAGTTTTATCAAATGCTTTTGATGCCTGACTTTATATGAATACAAGAAAACCATTTGTGGTGTTTGATAATTATTGTGATTGTTAAGGTACTGAGTTTCTTTTGTGTGGATTTTTTTCAGGGCACGGAGAATCTTCTAGGCATATATTTTAACACGTTAGAAATCAACGAGCCGTTGGTTATAGATGAAAATTCATTTAGAGGAATGCTCAATCTCAAATTTCTAAAATTTTGCAAAGAGTGGTGGTCAAGGAAGACTGGTGAAGGCAGATTGTATTTATCGGGAGACTTTGTTCGTTTTCCTCGTGAACTCAGATTGCTACATTGGGACGAATATCCATCCAAATGTATGCCTTGTAACTTTAGGGGGGAGTATCTGGTTGAACTCAACATGATAGGTAGTAAGCTTGAGAAGCTGTGGGAAGGAGCTCAGGTAATTAATTTTCCATTTAAAACAAGAATTTTTTTTTTGTTTTTCGTTCTTTCAACCAATGAATATATTAATATGTTTCTTCTAAGAAAATTAAAACTGTATTATATTAATATGCTTCAGCTACTCGGAAGTCTCAAGAAGATGGATATGGGTTTGTCTACAGATTTGAAAGAGATTCCTGATCTTTCAAAAGCCATAAATCTCGAGAACTTGAACCTTTGGGGATGCACATCATTGGTGACACTTCCTTCTACAATTGGAAATCTCAAAAAACTGCGGGTGTTATCCATGTGGGGATGCTCAAAGCTTAAGGGCCTGCCAACTGTCGTCAACTTGGAGTCTCTTGAAATACTCAATCTCGGAATGTGCTCAAAGTTGAGTAATTTCCCTCGAATATCAAAGAATATTTCAGAGCTTTATCTATATGGAACTGCAATAGAAGGAGAAGAAGATTGTTCCTGGATTGGGAATATTCCTCACCTTAGTAATCTCTATTTGGATGGTGTTTCATTGAGATGTATGCCGTCTAACTTTCACCCAGAATATCTCACTGAACTTCGAATAAGAAATAGCAAGCTTGAAAAGTTATGGGGAGGGGTCAAGGTATTTAATCGAATTCATTGTACTCTTTTGGTTTTACTGCAGTGAACTCGGATTTGATGGCTTCAAATTTGGAGCTTTCCTTAGGGGTGGTTGGAGCTTCTTCTCTGGTATTTTCTAGAAGCAAGGTGCTCTCACCACCACCAAGTAGCTTCCACGGTGTTGATGGAGCATCACTTTCGCTTTCCCTCTCTTCTTTTAATACCTGCCTCGGGGGAGAACCTTTGTATTGTGATCCCATGATAATCCAACAACAAGACACATGGACACCCAGCGAGACAGCTTCTTTGTATTTTGATCCCATGATAGTGGAACAACAAGACACAGAGACAGCCAGCGAGGGTCCTTCATTGTCTCTACAGCTTGTAAACTATTTCAGGTAACTGAAACATCATCTTGCTGTTAGTGTATATCATATATACTCTTAGGTGGTGTAGAATATCATGTATAGATAAAGGAGAATATCTTGTGTATCGGATCTCCTGTTGAGATCTGTAACTGTAACGTATATTTACATAGCTTTTGCAGCTTCAATTGAAATTATTAAGTTCTAAACACTTACACTTGCAACTCTATTTTATCCTGTTTTTGGATCCACCTGTGATCTACTTTGGCTGTAAGGAACTCTTTGATGTTCCAGCAATGAGCAAAAAGCTAATGATGAAATGCTAAAATTGCCCCAAGGCACGAGTTCTTTTACGAAGTCTTGTTTTTCTTTTGTTAGCTACACATTGTTTGTTTACACAGAGAGTGCGAGAGTAAAAAAGGCTAAGTAAGCCTTTGGGCCCATTAGTATTGAAATTCACACGTGATTAACCACACGACGTCGTTTTAAGACAAACGTATGTATAGAGAAAAGAAGTTTGACGGTTGAAGAAAATGAAGATATTCCGATTCGGAAGATATATACTAATACAGTAAATAGATAACAAAAGAGAGAGAAAATAAAATCAGAAAAAGCTAACGAAGAAAAACAAATTATCTAACGATGGAGGAAAACAAGACGACGACGGAGGAGATGAACGACAAACTGATCACCTCCTTCCTCGAGATCACTTCTTCGTCGAGAGAAGAAGCTACTTTCTTCCTCGAAAGTCACCGATGGGATCTAGACGCTGCCGTCTCCACCTTCCTCGACAACGACGCCGCAGCCGCCGCCGATTTACCAACTGGCCCGAACCCTAATCTACCTCCTTCTTCGATTCCGGCTGCATCTCCCTCTCAATCTCACTCTCCGGACTACTCTCCTTCCGAAAACTCTCCTTCCAGGTCACGATCTCCCTCTCCGCCTTCCCGCGACGCGCCTTACCGTCTCCGATCGAAAGGTGGCGCCTCCGAAAATCAGGTAGCCGATAATCCGTCGGGGAGCCGGAACACTAGGAGCCGTCAACACGCTGGTAACATCCGTACGTTCGCGGATCTGAACCGTTCTCCGGCTGACGGTGCCGATAGTGATTCTGATGAGGCGCAAGAGTATTATGCCGGCGGAGAGAAAAGGTAAATTGTGTACTCATCCTTCGTTATCATATCTCAGTAGATGATGTTTGTATCCGATGAATCTTGCACTAAGACGAGCATACTGTGAGTAAACCTTAGGAAATTTGTGGAATTTGATCATAATTGAGCAATGTACTTTCTGGAGGAGACTAATCTTATCTCATAGCTGAAGAATCGTAGTATTGATGGATCAGTGATATTGTAGGGATGACCATATCTTGTTCTTTCATTGTATTGCCTTTTCGATTCCTTAAAAGTCTTCCACGATATTCTTTCTCTGTAGTGGGATGATGGTTCAAGACCCTAGGAAAGCAAAAGACGTTGACGCACTCTTTGAGCAAGCTAGGCTCTCAGCTGTAGAAAGACCTGTAGAATCATCAAGATCGGCTACTAGAAGCTTCTCTGGAGCTGGGCGGTTGTTATCCGGTGAACCTGTTTCCTCTTCTCCTCAGGAGCAGCAGCAACAACAGCAAGACCAGCCTCAAGAGGTTATGCACAACATCACTTTCTGGAGGAACGGTTTCACCGTTGATGATGGTCCTTTAAGGAGGTTTAATGACCCCGAAAACGCAGCCTTTATGGAGGTATATAGTCCAAAAAGCTTCTCCCCATTCAAGGGTTAATCCAAATTCTGCTAGACTGAAATAGATTGCTCCTATGAATCATTGTAGTTTCACTGATATGTTCTCTTCTCAAAACTGCTTATTGATCATGATGGGCACTTAATACATTACGAATTCTTTGCAGAGCATTGCGAGATCAGAGTGCCCTCGTGAACTTGAACCCGCAGATAGGAAGATCCGTGTTCATGTGGATCTCGTCAGGCGTGAAGTCGATTACACAGTAAGTCTCATTCCTTCTGTCAGCAATCATCTAGTGAACATGTTCTCTGGATTCTTAGTGTATGTATCTCTTTGTCACACCAGGAACCACCGAAGCCCAAGAATCCGTTTCAAGGAGTAGGAAGAACCTTAGGAGCTAGCGGATCCGGATCAAGCCCTGCAGCTGTAGAACCACCCGTCCAAATGAACACAGCACCCGCACCATCAAGAGGGCTAGTCGTAGACCCAGCAGCACCGACTACATCGATCCAGCTCAGATTGGCGGACGGCACACGGCTTGTGTCGAGGTTCAACAACCACCACACCATCAGAGACATTCGTGGGTTCATCGACGCTTCGAGACCCGGTGGCTCCAAAGAGTACCAGTTACTAACCATGGGGTTTCCTCCTAAACAGTTGACAGATTTGGACCAAACCATCGAGCAGGCTGGTATCGCTAACTCCGTCGTCCTCCAGAAAGCCTAGGTTTATTAAGATCACTTCGATTCATGTCTCTCTCTCTCTCTCTTTGCTCTTTTTTTTCTTTTTCATCTTCTTCAAAGTGTGTCGCTGACTGAAAACTATTTGGTCAACGCTACGAGGATATGTCTCTTGTAGGATTTGGATATTTTTGAGATTCTTCATCAAATCTCTTTTCTTTCAGATTCAGTCACTTTGTTAATTTCTTGGCTTACACAAATCGCATTTGCTAACGACTCAAACACCGTATCTTTTAAGGCAGAAAAATCAAAAAAAAAATTCCTAATTTCGATAATTAGATGCTTTGTTGGACTCGTGAATTTACGAATAGACCAGTTGCTGCATAAACTCCACAAAACTATACTCTCCCATAAATCGAGGACATAAAGGTAAATTGACATTACCTGCCCCATCTGTCGACTCCCTGGTTTTCATTTTCCTTGTTCTCTTCAAAAACTTTATTTTTGTTTAATTTTAATTTTATTTTTCTCCAACTCTTGTTTTCGGAATCCTGAAAGAAGCCAGGAGATTTACAGTGAAAATCCTACAGAAGGAGAGATAGCGAGTAACAATTGTAATTATTTTTTCCCTATTTTTGTTCATTACAACCTTATTTTTCCTAATTGTTGTTCTGTATCTTCCCAGATATTTTTTTCCTCTTGCTGTGCTTCGTTGCCTATTTCCCCCTTTTTTACTTCTCTCTCTCTTGCTCGATTCAGTTTGGGAGAGAACAAGGAGCCTTTTTTTTAACAGGGTTTATCACAAGATCCCTTCTTGCTGGAAGCTCGCATATTTTTAGGGTTTCTTTGATATCATCTCGAATACCCAGATCTCTCTCTTTTACTCATCTGCCAATTGTAAGCTTCTTCTTCATCTCATATCTCTCCAAGTTTTACAATTTGTCATTGTTCTCTGGATTTTTTTCCACTTAATCCTCAATTCATTTCGCGAGTTGGTGCTTCCGATTTTGAATTATTGGGATTCGTGTGCATGCAGGGCTGTTCAATGATTAGGGTTTAACTGGTTCAGTCGACAAAATTTGCGGAAAACTCTGACTTATTCAGCTAATTTAGGCTTTTCTGATCTCTCGTGGCGAAGTTGAGGAAGAAAAAAGAGGTTTTGGCCCATTTTGAGGGTTTCTGTAGATATGATCAAGCAGATATTTGGGAAATTACCCAGAAAACCTTCGAAATCATCATCGCAAAACGACCCGAATCCAAACGGAGAAGCTACTGGGTTCAAAACGTATTACATCCCTCCGGGTACTACCTCGAATTCAAATGGAGCAAATGGGACTATAGCTCCTTCTTCAACGAGCTCTAACAGAGCCAATCCGCTCAACAAACCATCAGGCGATGTGTCTTACGAAGCTCTGCCTAGCTTCAGGGATGTCCCTACCTCGGAGAAACCTAATCTGTTCATCAAGAAGCTGAGCATGTGCTGCGTCGTCTTCGACTTTAGTGACCCGTCGAAGAATCTCAGAGAGAAAGAGATAAAGAGGCAGACTTTGCTTGAGCTCGTGGACTATATAGCGACGGTTTCCACAAAGTTCACCGACGCTGCGATGCAGGAGATCGCGAAGGTTGCGGTGGTTAATCTCTTCAGGACGTTTCCTTCCGCGAATCACGAGAGCAAGATCCTGGAAACGCTTGACGCTGATGACGAGGAGCCTGCGTTAGAGCCCGCTTGGCCTCATCTTCAAGTTGTCTATGAGCTTTTGCTAAGATTCGTGGCCTCGTCGATGACTGATTCGAAGCTCGCAAAGAGATATATCGACCATTCTTTCGTCTTGAAACTTTTGGATTTGTTTGACTCTGAAGATCAAAGAGAGAGGGAGTATCTAAAGACCATTCTTCATCGGATATACGGGAAGTTCATGGTTCACCGGCCGTTTATCCGAAAGGCGATCAACAATATCTTCTACAGGTTCATTTACGAAACCGAGAAGCATAACGGTATTGCAGAGTTGCTTGAGATTCTTGGAAGTATCATCAACGGTTTCGCTTTACCGTTGAAAGAAGAGCACAAGCTTTTCCTTGTCAGGGCCTTGATTCCACTACACAGACCTAAATGTGCTTCGGCGTATCACCAACAGCTTTCTTATTGCATTGTTCAGTTTGTAGAGAAAGACTTCAAGCTTTCTGATACTGTCATTAGAGGGCTTTTAAAGTATTGGCCTGTGACTAACAGTTCTAAAGAAGTCATGTTCCTTGGAGAGTTGGAAGAAGTTCTTGAAGCGACTCAAGCAGCTGAGTTTCAGCGATGTATGGTTCCTTTGTTCCGTCGAATCGCTAGATGCCTCAACAGTTCACATTTTCAGGTTAATACTGATAATATGTTACATAAATCATACCAATTTTGTAAGTTTTTTGTGGAGTTTGTTGTGAGAATACAATGTTGTCTTCTTTTTGGTTAGGTGGCTGAAAGAGCTCTGTTTCTGTGGAACAACGATCACATAAGAAACCTGATTACTCAAAACCACAAAGTGATAATGCCAATAGTGTTTCCGGCTATGGAGAGAAACACAAGGGGACATTGGAACCAAGCGGTTCAGAGTCTGACATTGAATGTGAGGAAGGTGATGGCAGAGACAGACCAAGCTCTGTTTGATGAATGTTTAGCCAAGTTTCAAGACGATGAAGCGAGTAAGACAGAGGTTGTAGCCAAACGAGAAGCAACATGGAAGCTTCTGGAAGATTTGGCTGCTTCCAAATCCGTGAGCAACGAGGCAGTTCTTGTCCCAAGATTCTCATCTTCTGTTACTCTTGCCTCTGGTAGTTGAATTCTCTCTGCTCTTTATTATTATCAACAACACTCTCAGAATGATCCAGAAGAGTTGGATCGATCCATTCGAGCATCAGGATCGGTTCTTGAAGAGAGAAACCAAAGCGCGATGATCCGAAGAAGGGCAAGTATCATCAGCGAGTACTATTTCTTCACATTTCTTCAGGTTTCTGGATTCATGAGTTGTTCAATTGTTTGTTGTTTATCTGATCTTTTCTTTTATTATTTCTGAGCTCTTAGAGGAGTTGTAAGAACATTATGTGGTGTAAGAAAAATGGTTTATAGATATAGTACTTGAGAGGACGACTAAATAAATTAAATTAATCGTATTATTGTACTGTGGAATGAAACTGATCTATGCTTTGTGACTTTTACATTTGACAATCCGTCTCTTTACCTCTCGTTTATGTTTTTTTTTTTTTTTTTGTGTTTCTTAGATCAAATTGCTTCTAGTTATTTTCGTTCATTTATTTGTTTGTTCTTAGTCAATGAGTGTCATGTTCAATGTCATTGTCAAAGACAACTCAAACAACCCAATCTACTTGTTGTTAGACTATACGAATGATAGAGACATAAAGAGTTTAGAGAGATGAAGTTTGAATAGAGAGATCAAAACTTTTTATTACTACACTTTTGTTTTACCGAAGTCTTACCACTTACAAGAACTAACCTAAACCACATCAATATAAATTAGGGGAGTAGCTTGGAGAGAAAGATTATTAATAGCTTGGGAAGAAAGGTTATGAATATTGAATAGCTTGGGGGAGAATTGCTCATTCATTTTATTTCTTTGTTCTGACTTCTTACACAATGAATGTTCAATGTCATTATATTAGTCAAGGACAACTAACAACAACCCAAAAACCACTTAATTTTACAAAGTCAAAGTCAACTTTTCTTTTCGTTTTCTTCCCAAATTATACGTTGTGGCTTCTTAGTTCTTAGCATGACGTTTATTCAAAGTTTCTTTATTCCTATATAAGGAGGAGTTCTAAATTAAGAGAAATAACCCAATTTGCAAATACTAAATTTCTTTTTCTTGGTATATAATATTGCAAAGTTGAACATGTCCCGGATTATATAAAAAGAAAATATCTTTAAAAAATTCTAAATATTTATATAATAAAAGTATAATTCCATTTTACAAAAATAAAACATCCCATATACATTAATATAATAATGAGATAATCTACTACTAATATTAAACTGAATGATGATTTTCCTTTCATCTTACAAATTGAATAAATTACCAACTAATAACAATATTGAAGAATTCATAACAAATACTTTTCTAATAAATGCTCAAAAAGGTTAATAAAAAGATGGACTTATATTACTTCAAAACCGAAGAGAACACGAAACAAACCAAAATCAGAAAAAATATCAATCCCTCTCTCTCTCTCTCTCTCTCTCTTTCTCTCTCTCTCTCTCTCTCTCTCCTGTCTCTCCTGTCCCCATGGGAACTCAACTCCCAGACGCAGCAGACGCTGATTCCTCCCAACTAGTCCTGAATTTGAGCGTTGGAGCTAAAGACGACAACACCAAAATCAACGGATCAGCGCCTGTAAATTCCACCAGTCCGGACCAGCCTGTAGACATCGAATTCGTGGAGCAGATCTTGAACTACAAATTCAAAGACAAGAGTTTGCTGCAACAAGCGTTTACCGATGCTACTTTCGATGAGAACTGTGTTTCGTACGAACGTTTAGAGTACTTTGGAGATACGGTTCTAAATACGGTTATTACCAAATACTTATACTTTCGATATCCGGATTCTCCACCTGGTTTGCTGACCAATCTCCGAGCTGTCAACGTCGATACGGAGAAATTGGCTAGAGTCGCTGTAAAACACAATCTCCATCGCTGTCTCCGTCATAAGAAACCCTTGCTTGATGACCAAGTAAGTTCACTTTATTACAACCCTATTCATGAATTCATCGTTAATTTTTGCTATTTACTTTCCATTTATTATTTTCTGGTCGTTTTTTGCTAAATATATTGATTGGTTGAATGATTAGGGCTTAATATATTTACTCGAACGTGTAGAAGTGATGTCAATTATTTTCTAGGAACAACAATTTGTGTACTTGTCATTAATAAATGTATTCAAAAAGTATATTTATTGTCATTAATCAAATATAATTTTGTACTATTTGCTTGTGTGTTGTTTTTTTTCTTTGCTCAATATTGGGTGTGCGTGTTTTAACATATACTCTCACCGTACCACTAGATATTTTTGTTTTCCTTTTCTTTTTATTGGTTGAATATTGTTTTTAATTAATGATATTTGATGTATAATAGACATAAACATTGTGTAGCTTATCATATCTTCGTGCATTCATCAAAGACATCTTATAAAATGACATATAAATAATATACAGATATAGATTAATAAACTTTGAAATTCTTTTAATAAATGCAGATATTAGAATTTTCAAAAGAAATAGAAAAATATCCATTACATTCGCGTGGTCTTTTGAAAGTCCCTAAATCTCTAGCAGACATCGTAGAGTCTACAATTGGAGCACTCTATACTGACTGCCACTCCTTAGAGACAGTCTGGAAGGTAACTGCATATCTTTCATGATTATATTTTTTAATGAGAGTTATAAATTTTTACATATGATCAAATCGATGATTTTTTTTAAAAAATTGTTGATACATAGGTGGTAAAACCATTGTTGGAGCCAATAATACATTTAGAAAAATTGGAGAACCATCCAATGACAGAACTTAATGAGATGTGTCAGAAGAAGAACTTGAAATTGAGGTTCGATGATAGTACTTGGGAAGTCGATAAAACGGTTCTTGTTTTTATTGAAGATCATCTGGTTGGACGTGGACACCATCTTATCAAGAAAGATAGTGCTAAAAATTGCGCTGCAAAAAATGCTATCGACAATTTTTCCCATTTCTTTTCAAAGATCTAATATCATATATATCCTTCTGAAAATTTAAATTCTCTAGAACAAATTGTATTGTTGTTTTGATTTTATTTTAATCTACTTGAATAAAATTAACATTTTGTGTATGGATGCTTTGGTTGATCCTGTAGCGTTGTTGGAAATCATAAACATATAAGAATATCTAAGAGTAAAGCAAAATTGCAATGGTCAATGGAGGATATCTTCTACTCTCTCTGTCTTTTTAATATAAGACTATGTATATAACTCGTGCTGTATTAATAGTTTGGTTTAATTTTTTTAGCTATTATCTTTAAAATTATTAAAACTATAATATATTTATAGAAATTTTCATTTATATAAGAGAATTTAATATATAATATGTAATTTCTCCTATTTTTATTTATAAGTTTTTTAAAACTATTAAGTAAAATAATAACAATGACACCTATCGAATTATCTAACTTTGACGTACATATACATTTGATTTAGAGAAAAAAAATTTTGCAAATATTTTGATATTATTTTCTGTTTTCCATAGAATTTATATAGTTCTTTTTTTCCTTGAAAATATATGTGTCTAAATATTTAGTTTTTTTTTTAATTGAAAGTCTTATTGATGTTATGTACCACTACATACATAATCCATATTTTATGTTGATTCGCATTTAATTTTGTTAGGAAGCTGCAAAGATCATGCAAAACCATTTTTTCCATCTCCACCATGTCTTCCAAGAGTTTTATGTTATATTTTTGTTTAGTTTTCATTTATATCTATTTTTTTATAGTCTAATATTTGATAATTTAGTTTTCTAACTTGTAGGATCGATGGTGTAAAGTTTTTGCATTATTTTTCACTGTTTTTATATTTTTGTGTGCAATATACATACTTTGATTTGAATATTTCATCTACATATAGTAATTTGAGTTTGATTCATAACTATGTCATATTTTATTATTTAAATAGAATTTTAGAATGTATTATTGATATTGATTCAGATATAAGTATTGGCTATGCATATAAATTATATTTTATAACTTGTTAAATATCGAGTGTAAAGTTATTATAGTGTTTTTCCTGGCTACATTTTAAATCAGAAATATCAAGTGTATTAATCATTGTATATTTAAAAATATGTTTGGTTTAGAAACTCATGTAAACCTATTGAAACTTAAGATATTTATTAATTGTTGATACTAATACTTTAGAAATCATGAACTTTTTGAAACTAATTTCAAATTAATTTTGTTTTACCTTTTCATTATATAATTTACATCTTTTGATAGTAGTTTTTTATTTATTTTAATTTATATACTTCTTTGTATGTTTGATATATTTATGACTTATATTCTTTTTATTAAGCTCTTTTGTTGTTGATTTTTCAAATAGGTATCATAGACATCACATTGATTACTTTTACACAAATATTTTTTCTTTATTAAATTTGTTTTTATATTAAATTTAATTCTAGTTATAATGCTGATTTGATATGCTCTAACTATTAAATTTAAATCTTAGATGGACTTTTCTAAAAAGCTTATAACATCATTTGTTTATTTTTGTTAAGTTTTTTTATATTAATTTTCAAAATCTTTAGCCCAGGTTAGTTTTTTATACGACTTTTTTTTTTTTGTTAATTTGCCTCTTTTGATAATGATTCATACTTTATTTTGAAACATAAATTTAATACATGTTGAAAGCTGAAAAAGCTATTAATAAAAACATGTTTAATTTCTTATCATATCATAATATCTTTAAAACAATTTGGTTTTATATCTAAAAACATAATAGGAAATTAAGGTATGGTGATGTATATGCATGTGAGCGTACTTATCATGTCAAGTAGTCAATAGTTGCTTCAATATTTTTGTCGGAAAAAACTGGGTGGAAGAAGTGGACTTCTAAAATAATACTTCTACATGATGCAATTTAAAGTATGGTGTTAAGAGTTAAATAAATATTATTATCTAATTTATTTCAGGATTCATCATATTTTCAGAAAGAATAGTGAAACAATGATAATTATATGTTTGAAATTACAAACCTTGAAGTATTTTTGGGTTCATAATTGTAGCTAGGAGCACGACATGTTTAACAACACTTTTCATTATTTTTCTTTGAAAATTGGCAGAAAATTAACACGAACAATTGACTCACTGTTTAGAAAATATAAAAAGATGGTAAGTAAACATACATGTTTATCTTTTTTATTGCAAGTGAACATTTATTTTATGATGACTTCCACCATTGGTGATGTCATTAGCTTAACTGAACAAATAAAATTCTCGTCGTTGATGATGATCATTTTGTCTAATAGCATCTAGACAATATATAACATTACTATGTATTTATATATGTGCAATGCATTATAAGTTATAAATTTTTCTAATCTATGCTATAAGTTTTAACTTTTATGATATTGATTTTTTGGTTAGTTTGGCTTTTTTACATTAAATTTCCATTTAATTTCAAGGAATACTATATTTTGGTTTTTTAATATATTTTTTTCTATTTGTTACTTTTGTTTTCATTTTTACATCTATAAAACGAAATTAATGTTTTTTTTTTAATTTTTTGTCAATTAATTTAGAAGTTAGAATTTTTTTTAATCTACATTATAAGTTTGAGCTTTTATGATATTGGTTTTTTTGTTAGTTTATCTTTTTTAAAAACAATTTCTATTTTATTTTGAAGGATACTATTTTTTGGTTTTTTAACATAATTTTCTTTTTTATTTGTTACTTAAGCTTTTTATTTTTATTTTTCCATCTATAAAGCTAAATCAATGTTTTATATTTTCTGGTCAATTAGTTTAGAAGTTATAATTTTCCTTAGAATTTTCCTAATCTATATTATAAGCTTGAACTTTTATGATATTGGTTTTTTTGTTAGTTTAACTCTTTTGAAAACAAATTTCTATGTTATTTTTAAGGATACTATTTTTTTAGTTTTTTAACATAAATTCCTTTTCTATCCGTTACTTAAACCTTTTTATTAATTTTCCATGATTAAGATTAATATTTTAATAATACTTAACATTTTTTTGAATATTCCTAATCTATATTATAAGTTTGAACTTTTATGATATTGATTTTTTTTATAGTTAGTTTGACTCTTTTGGAAATAAATTTCTATTTTTAAGGATACTTTAACATAATTTTCTTTTCTATTTGTTACATAAACTTTTTTTATTTAATTTTTCCATGATTAAAATAAAATTAAAGTTTTAATCATATTTAACATTTTTTGTTTAATGAAATTGCTGATGTAGACCAATCAAATTGAGTTTTTTTGTCCTATGTGGACGCCATCAATGCACTATACCATCAACTTTTTTATATTATAGAGGTTTTGAGTTTTTTTTTAACATTGATTATAACTTTTATTGAATATTATGAGTCACCAATAGGTGATTACAATGATAAATCAGCTAAAAAGGTATCATGATTATAAGATTTTTTATAAACTCAATCAACTAAGGTTTCCAAAAAATTTAAAAAATATTTAGAACAGATTTTCAAATCTTCTTGTCCTCACTTGGTAATGGGTAGACTTCGGCAATTGTGAAATATTCTTCTTGAATTAGCATGACAGAGCCTCTATTAAAGTGGTTTAAAATCGTCTATAGATATCGTAACCGATTTTGTCAACAAAAAATGACATAGATCCGGTATTGAGGAGACAAAAGCAAATCCAGATCTGGTTGTAATTTCTATTGGAGGAGGCTAACATGAATCGTCCAAAAACAACACCAAGCCAAATATATATATGTTGTGGAAGGCGGCAAATAGAACCGACATAAAGCCAAGAAAAATACCGATAAAAAAAAAAAAGAAACCAAGAATCAATAAAAAAACTCTTTCAGATCCAAAAAAAAGGAAAAATCAATCAAAACAGAAAAAAATAATATGAAGAACTAACAAAATAAATAGTCTAACCGATAACGAAGCTAAAGAAGCCTCCAGCCATCAGCCACAAACTCTCAAAAACTTTTTTTTCTTTCTAAGCGGCTAGGATATCCCAAATGAATACTAAAATGAGTTTGTTGAGATTTTATTAGTTTTTTACACATTTTAAGTAAAATTAAAAAAATACTTTTCTTACCTTAATTTTATCAATTATTACTTCAGTTTTTATATAAATAATAAATGTTATAAGGGTAAATTAAGTAAAATTTGACAATAAACACATCTAGAAAATTGAAAACGTTTAACAATATAAAACAACAAAAATTTCTAAAACATCCTTTATTTAAAAACAAATTGAGTCTATATTTAAGAGTCAACTTGCCATATACCAAATTTTTGAAAAGTTATTATTGAAATACCAATGGAGATATAGAAAAAAAATGATAAAACTGCATATAAATCAAAAGAAATAAGATTCAAATGAATTAGTATAACTATTTACTTAGTGGCGGAGCTAGAAAATATTTTTACTGGGATCAATACTATATAAAAAATTATACAAAAATAATACTACAAAAAAAAAATTTTCAACGTAGATATTTTTTATGATGATTGTAACATATTGTATATAATTTTTAAACAAATATTTTATTATATATGTAAAATATTTTACAAAACATTTTTGCTTGTTAAAGATAAAAATAAGTAAATTGTTTTAATATATCAAAACAAATATGCAAAAACAAATTATAATAATTTCTAAGTTGTATAACAATGAAGAAGATAACTTTTTCACTTTAGTTATAAGAACGAAACTACCATATCTTCAACATACAAAATAACGGGATATAAACACAGTTATACAAATTTAATTTTAACTATAAACCTATTTTAGGTGGTCTTAACTATTTTTGTTGTTGTTGACAACAGATGGTCGTAACTATTTAAGAAAGTGGATACAGATTAAATTCAAAATATTCGGTAAATATTTTAATTGGTTAATGTGAGCTTCAGTTATGTAGGCGTCAGTAACAAAATTTGACCGGGGTCAGTTTATAAAACTGTGAAAGTTTATTATAGATAATTAAAATTCACTGGGGTCAGCTAACCCTCTTCCCCTCAGGATTAATGGCTGAGATGCCCCCCTCCGTTCAAAAATATCCAATATACCTTCGTTATTTTTGGATTATTTGATAATATTTATTTTAAATAGCGAAAAGGAGTAGATATCGATTATGCCCTTACAAACTTAACAAAATTACTGGCCCAACCAAGAGAAACCCACCCAAACCCTAATCCGCCCATATATCG